GTTTAAATTTTTCTGTTCTCATTTCATTCAATATCTTCTCTAAGTATCTAGTTTACATCTCAGATCTGCTATATATTATGAATCATGGTCTCTTTATCATATGCTAGAATTCTTTGATATTATAGTAATATAAATTTTTAACAAATGATGTTTCAAAACTATGTTTCTTCTTCATTTTGAAACTTGATTCAGGATATTTTTTCTTCTGCTTTATTGAGTCTTATAGTGATTTCTTTCTTCTGTGTAAAAGAAAAATTATAAACTAAGGGCACCCAAAACCAAGTTCTCAGCACAAAGGAGATCTCCTCACCGCAGAAGGACATAGGTCGGGGAATAAGAGAAAAGACAGGAGATAGAGGAAGAGGAAGGATGATTATGAAACCAGGAAAAGGGACATAGTATTTGTCCTGGAGAGAAAAAGGACCATCTCTAGGCAGAGAGACAGACATAGAACATAGAAAAATTGCAGATTTAAGCTTTAAGGAATTGGGAGATCTCTGACAATTTTATGTAGTCTGTGGTACTTGTTCCCTGCCATATCTCCAAAATAGGTGTTCAGCATGATTCTTTATGAAAATATGGACATGATTATTTAGTACATGGTTTACAAAGGAACACCAAATGTTCCCCTCAATAAACACTAAAATCTATTCATTGATATGAGACTAAAAGGGAACATCTGCTGGCACAATGTTATTCCACCATTAGTGTGGATGGAGGGATATCAGTCTGAACAGTTGGAAATCAGATACAGAAATTTCTGAAGGATATGTAGCCCCAGAATCAGAAGCAGCAAATATCAGTTTCCCTCCTTTGTAGATTCTAAATATAAATATAGGAGCACACGAATGTCTGTGTGTATGTGTACACAAACTTTGTATGTGTGTGTGTATCTATGTGAATATGTATGAATGTGGGTGTTGGTGGATATGTGTGGTGAGAGGTGAAGGCATGGGTGAATGTGTATGTATGAGAGAGAGTGTGATAAAAGTATTAGAGGTACTAAGGGAAGAAGAGGTAACAGGACAGAGAAGGTGCAATAGGGAAGGCTAGTACATAT